ATACACCTGTGGCCATGGAAGTGATTGGAACACCTGATTCCAATAATTTGGATGGGTGAGCAAATACTTTTGGCAATATAGTGTATATGTGTGTGTAGATGTGCAAGATAAAAAATGTAATCTTTAATAACTAGTAATGCATCATTCAATATTTCCCCCCTAGGACGCAAAAATCTTTACCCACTGAATCTCGTTAAAAGTTGTACATGCGCAGCAGCTCCTCCACAATACAAAGGTATAGGAGAGCTCAGGGTGCAGCTAAGCAGCGACCTAAGGTGACAGTAAGTCACCAGCATGAATTATGGTTTGTTTTTATAAAGTGTTTTATAATGTTTTTTTGTTGTCGTTGTTGGCACTCATATAAATATACTGGTGTGCTAACTTTGTATACCTTTGATTGGTTTTTGGTATACATCTATTTTGAATTTATAGCCCCCCCCCAGGAGAAAACACAACCAGCTGCCACTGGATCCTGTGCCTGTTGCTGAATGTGTCGGTGAGAGCAGGTGATTTAATCACACCTTGCACGAAAAAACGGGAAGGTTTGGTGAAGACCTACCTGTGACGTTGACATAGACGGTGGTGAAGGCAGCTAATGGTACGGCCGCCACATTCTGGGCCCGAACCCGCAGAATAAAGTTCCTGGTGGTTTCATAGTCAAGCGGTTCGGCAACCAAGATGGAGGCGGAGCCATCCTCGCGATTGGGAGTCAGGTAGAAGCGAACAGGCATGTTAGTCTCTGGGACCATCCCATCCTCCAGGTTATAGGTGACCCGTGGATCTCCCAGAGGAGACGTGGCTTTGATCTTCTGTAGGAACCAATACACAAGGAAAGGGGGTAGAAAGCAGCTCAGGAAAACCATCAGGAATGAACAGATTGACATGTTTTAATCCCTGATCCTAAATATCAAGGTTATCCTTTTTTCATGTCAGTCTCTGAGGACAGAGGTCTCCAGATGCTGACATGATTGTAAGTCTACAACTGCAGTCTGCAGTGGTATCGCACTCAGGTCCTACTAAGGTCCCCAAAGGTCACTGGGTGGCCCAGATTTATAAACAGCTCCCTGAGATCTTCTATGTCAGAGCTGGACGGCAGGGTCCAAATAATAAACAAAAAACAGAAACACTGGGAAGCTCAGGTTTTATATCCTGGCCTGCCAACCTGACTTACATGGAGGCAGGGGTTTAGGCCTGTACCACAATTACCCATAATGCAACAGGACTTTACTGTAGCCAGAACAGTCAAGCCTGCTGCCAACTTTTTAATGATGATGAGCAGAAAGTATCCTTAGAGTTACGGCTTTAGAGCGTCTCTTTTTGAAAACAACTTTTCCTGCCACATCCATCTGATTGGTTCTGACTCGTTTCAGCTAACTCTGTTAGTAACGCCTTCAAAATGTGACTGCACAATAAAATGATCACTAAATATCTGAAAACAGTCGCATTGAGGTTTTAAAGGAAAAGCTCATATTCAGAATTCAAACTTCTGAAAGTAATTGAAATATGAAATTATTACATACTGTTTAAAAAATGATACGTGTTTTGAATTAAGAGTAACTTTCATTTTTTTTCAATTCAATTCAGTTTATTTATATAGCGCCAATTCACAGCACATGTCATTTCAATGCACTTTACAATTCACCAGATCAAACAATCAAATCGATTCAAAGTTTTCTATCTAAGTAAAACCAGCTGACTGCATCGATTCATTGACTTAAATATAATCCCTCACACTAAGCATGTTTGCAGCAACAGTGGAGAGGAAAAAGTCCCTTTTAACAAGAAGAAACCTCCAGCAGAACCAGGTTCAGTGTGAGTGGCCATCTGCTGAGGCTGACTGAAGTTCAAAGAGACAAAAGCAGAGACACAAAAAGCAATGTGCTTTACTGGAGGCATCCATGTTTGTCAAAGAACACTACTGCCACCTACCTGTTTGTGACGTCACGGTGCAGTATCGGCTGTTGATCAAGTCCCAGTGCTGTATCTGGTGTTTGTCACAACGTGCTATTATCCAAGTCATCTTGAAAACATTCTTCTTCCAAATGTTGGCTATATATTACATTTTTTTTTTCTCTGGCCAGAAGTTTGATGGCAAATCCTCCCTCTTCAAGTTGGCAATCCAAAGATGAACCCGTCCGTGGAGGATCAGGAATCAGAAAGGTGAAATAACTAATTGTTTTTTCACTTTATTCCAACATCCAACATGCCATGCACGTGGGCATTGTCAGTTTCACTATAGCTCTGGTGAATTTCAATGGTGAAGTCCTCTGGAAATCTTCAATAATTGTTGTTGATTGTAGATGTGTCTAGTAGTTCCCATTGATTTTGCTTGTAAAGCGGGAAGAATGGCGCTAGGCTTACCGCACCGTGACGTCACTGCCGGAAGATGGCAGGAGCGACATGTTACTATATTTAGGCAAAAATGGCCGCTCCCAGTCTCAGTGAATGGAACGAAAATGAAGTTCATTAAATCACCTTAAACGTATTAGTTTTAGGTATGAATAATGATCCACTGAATATTCCTCTCTGACCGGACTTTTCCTTTAAAGAACACTGAGGAAAAACAGAGTCACATGGAAAAGTCCTGCATTTGATTTAATTATGTCTAATTTTTACCTTTTACTCTATTATTGTATTTATCAATGCACACTGAAATTTTGCTTCTGTCTCCTTGAAGCCCAGTCTGCCTCAGCAGATGGCCGCTCACACTGAGCCTGGTTCTGCTGGAGGTTTCTTCCTGTTAAAAGGGAGTTTTTCCTCTCCACTGTTGCTACAAGCATGCTTGGTGTGAGGGATTGCCTTCAAGTCAATGAGTCGATGCAATCAACTGGTTTTCCTTAGATCGAAAACTTTGAATCAATTTGACTGAATGATCTGGTGGACTGTAAATTGCCTAGAGATGACATATGTTGTGAATTGGTGCTATAGAATTAAACTGAATTTAATTGAAATTGGAAACTGGAAATAAACTAAGCTAGTGCAGGTAATTACTTTTAGAAGAAGAAGATGATGCAGTGAAATTAGGAGACAGCAAACAGCCCCACCAGAACTGCAATGAGAATATAATGAGTTTATAGGTGTGTGAATGATTATCTGATGATTACAGCAATTAATACAATTGAAAAAGGATCAGTTTTTGCTCAGGCCAAATGGAGGCTTTGGTCGGCCATGATCTGCAGCTCTATGCTGCTTTTCATCCAAAGGATTAATTACCAGGTTTGAAAGCAAAATAAAAACTGCCGAAATGCAAATCAAGTCTCTTCATTTACAATCATCAGTGGAAAAGAAAATGTTACCTAAGGGACGTTTACCAGACAAGCAGGTCTAATTTATAAGCACAAATATTTAAATGGATGAAGTAATTTAGGCCACATTCCCATTCAGTCCTATTAAGAATTAAATGAAGTTATATTCAGTTTTAGAGGCATTTGGAAAAACGTTTCCTAACAAAGTCTAGCTGATTGCATTTAATGAGTTACTTTGCAGCAATCTCTTCTGATTGTCGATGCTACTGATGTTACAGAAAAAACGGCACTGAATTGTACATCAGAGGCAACTTTTCCATAGAAAGAGTAAAGGAAAGCTCGAAGCTGTCCAGATTGGACAGCAGTGAACCGATATCTTGTGGGATCAAACAGAGATGCTCCAATTTCAAATGTAGTTTTCATCCCAAACTAATTGAGGATGAGGCTATGCAGCAGCTGAGGCTGCATACTAGCAATTAAAATTAAGAGAGCCTTCTTGGGATTGATGCAGCTTGCGGATAGGTGCCCTACATGCATCCTTACAACCTGGGAAAGAGATATGGCGGCAGTAATGAGACACCCTGTCAAGCAAATGTGTCAGATGCACTCAGTGTGCTTATTTAGGCTGTAAAGACTTGAAATGTCCGAGGCAGAGAAATCACAACCAGCTGAGAGTCATTGCATCTTTGCATAAGAGCCAAATAAACTCTGAGCTGCAAGCGTGGATGAATTCACAGCCCTGCTGGGACCATCCTGTCTTTATTAGCATTGCTCGCCAACTCACCAAAGGGCCCCGTCTTCCCATATAAACCACCTTTCTGCTACTTTCTGATCATCTCAAGAGTTAAAACATTTATCAGATTCTCTAATGGATGCTGCTTCTATCAGGAGAGTCTCATTAAAAATGTCTTCAGCTGTGAAACAGCAGCAAGGCCTATGAGGGTCTGAGTGTGTTGGGGGGGTACATCTAAATGTGAATATACACCCAGCACGTTACGGCACGTAAGTGCAGCAGAGCGGCATATACGTGCAAAAGGCATAGGTAACATGCCTGGGTGTTTTCAATTTCAATATGAAATTGTTACATACTGTTCAATAAATGATAAGTGTTTTTAATTAAGAGTAATTTTCATTTGAATGTGCTTTATCGGCTGTTGATCAAGTCCCAGTGCTGTATCTGTTGTTTGTCACAAAGTGCGATTATCCAAGTCATCTTGAAAACATTCTTCTTTTCTCTGGCCAGTAGTTCGATGGAAAATTCTCCAACCACGAACCCGTCCGTGGAGGATCAGAATTCGGAAAGGTGAAATAACAATTTTTTTTCACTTTTACCCAATGTATTCCAACATCCAACTGCCATGCACGTGGGCATTGTCAGTTTCACTATAGCTCTGGTGAATTTCAATGGTGAAGTCCTCTGGAAATCTTCAATAATTGTTGTTGA